GGGCACCAGGGCTGCTTGGGGGGCGGGCAGGGAGCGGAGCCGCCGCCGCGCTGGCCCCGCGACAACAAAGCGGCTGTAAAGGCTCCAGGTGGTGGCTGTGTTTGTTGTGCTGTCTGCAAGGTGCGGCTGCTCCCCGGCCCCGGCAGATCCCAGTGCTGCTGTGGACATTAAGAAAAGTCTCTTTGGGCTGATCCCAAACCCAGATAAGGAGCCGCCGAGTCACCAGCTCTGTCTAGACTCCGGACCTCACAAGTCAAGCGGGTTGTTTGGATTAGCCTTGGAGATCTACCGACCTGAACAGCCCTCCCAAAGAAAAGCCGCCATAATACCCTATTTTCCTCTTCCTATTGCCGTTCGGGGTCTGCCCAGAGATAGGAGCCGAGCTCTGGTTTGCTTCGTGTCACTTATTTATGGAAAACCTTTCCGCCCCCTCTCTCCCACAAACACGCCTTGGCATGTTTTGTCTGCCGGCAGAAAAGAAAACAGAAAAACAAAGACGCTCTGCAGCAAGAATCCTGTTTTGCAACCTTCCGCCTTCCTTCTCCTCTCGCCTACACTCCCCCGACCCCGGGAGAAATCCCGGGCTACAGATAAAGCTATGAGCCACCAGAGCAGTGCGGAGTCCTGCGCGGCCGGTCCGGCCCGACCCGACTTGTTTGGTGCCGCTCAGCTGCGGGCAGAAAATTCAATAAAGTGAAACAGCAACCTCATGTAAAAAGTCTCATCCTCTCTCTTCTCCACAAAGTGCATCGCACAGATCAAAGCTCCGGCTCTGGGAACGCGCCCCTTAATTTCGCACCCCGCGCTCCGGTTAGTGACAGTGTCCTATGGAGAGCCCTATGGAGAGGCCCACCCCCCCCCGCCGCGCGCCCCGCGAGGTGCGTTGTGATCCTGGCGCGGGTGGGACGCGGCAGCTGCGAAGTTTGTGTTTGTGGCGCCTCGACTCAAACCCCCATTCAGTGGCTCTCTCCTTTATCAAGAAAACAACAATCAGGGACAATCAGTAACCGGGATCTCCTCCTGGGCCCTCTTGTTAACTGCTCCGCCGCAGCGCCCAAAGCGCCGGCAGAGGCCCCGCGCCGTGGGACGCGGTTAAGGGCAGAGAGAGGGATAGACGTGACAACGTGAGCGAGCACGTGACGCCCATTGTTCCCCGGCGGGTCTTTTGGGTGCGGGTCGTGTTTTGGGGCACTCAAACCGCGGGGCTTTGGCAAAAGTGTGAGCGAGACCCCGCCTTGAACTGATAGCGCGGCGAAGCAGCTCCGATTTCTCCCCTCCTGCCCGCTTTTGAGTGACCTGACGTGAATTTATCTTTCTATCTATTTATATATGCATGTATATAAAGTCAAGTACTCACCGCTGATACGTGACAGGTCTGAATGCTGGAATTCACCGCTCCCGCTCTCCCGCCTTGCGCTTCTAAACGGGCTGGAGATGCGGGAGGCTATTATTAACTTGGTGCAAATATTGAAATGAGAAGAAGTGAATAATGGTCTCGATGTACACAAACAAAATTCGCAGAGAAATTATAGCAGTCCTTAGGAGACCTTGTTTGTTGTTATTAAGAGAGGCTGCGGCAAGAAGAAAACCAGGGCACATGGTTTGGTTAATTATCGCGCTCCCCTGTATCCAAAAGAAGGAACAGCGCGAGAACATGCAGAAAAAAAGAGCATAAGGACTTGCATTTCCAAAAGGATGTTTTCTCGCGCTTGCATTAATCCCGCTGCCCTATCTCAGAAGCGGTGTTTTCCTGAAGACAACTAGGAAGGACTGCTGAAAAAGCTCGTCTCTGTCGTACAGCAGATAACTGTCAAATTTTGGGGGAAGCTGAGGACGAATGAATAAATACGCCACGAAAAAAAATGAAATGAAAAAGAGAACCAATGGCCAAAAAAAATCCTCAGAACTTCAAAATAAATTAAATAAAATGAGGATTCGTGAGAAAAGAAATGAGGGATAGGAAAAAAAAAGGGGGGGGGGGGCAAGCAG